ACCTTTCTTCATCTGGACTTATGCATCCTCCACCGTGATCAAGCTAGCAAAATGCCTCTGTCAGTGTGATTACATTCGAGTCCAACCAACGATCATTTGTCGCTCTTGACTAGTGGCAATGGCGTGAGGAAAAATGTAGGTGACTCGAAGAAATCCGTTTTGCTATGCTCGTCTTCACTCCGAAAGCACAGCAACAAAGGTTGTTTCACGAAATGCAGGCAAGAATAATCAAATTAGTGCACTCGATTTCCTCCATTTCCCCTCTGTAACCTCTCCAAATAAGTTTCTACTTCGATCGATTAACCTGACTCTGTCTCTGCCCATATGAAAAATCACTTACCTTGGCCAGAGAGATGCATATTAGAAGTATGCTGAAGACACACGCACAAAACGATCACTTCAACGGACACCAACGTTTGTAGTCTCCATCAGGTACTCAACAACTAGGGTTTGCTAAACGTTAATGTGTCCAACAATGTCATTCAATTATTTTCTCCACAGATTAGAGGTAAACTATTATCTCAAAGAATTCTTACTTCGCACTCTTGGCCAAATCTCAGTGATTAGGATAAGAAACTCTTTCACTATATGAAAATACGACGACCTGTTGTCTCTGAAGTCCATCCTTTGCTAACTCGTTCACCCAGTAAACCATTTGCCATCTTATCACTTATTGCCTCTCTACATCAAGTGACCTTAGGAGTTCTCATTTCTCATGCTATGTAACTGTATTACTGACTTAAAACAGACTGAATACCAATATCAGTGTTTTGATGCGCTCTAACTGAAATCCATAAATTGTTTTGACTCCTAATGATAAAGAAAATAATTATGGCACCAATGAGTTGTCTAACTTATTAATTTGTGAATGCGTAAACAGAACACCCAACGCAATCAAATTGCATGGGTGAGAAGACATACTTGAGCTTGACCTCTCATCTGGAAACACCTTAATGTGGGTGTGAGTGAAAAGGATCTCTAACACGAAGGTGAATATTTATTTCAAATGGCAGGCTTAATGATATTCATCATTAGCCCTTTAACTTTGAATTCAGCTTCCCCCAAAGGTGGGGGGGGGTACATTTATAGCAGTTAATTAATAGCAATTCATGAAGGGGGGTACATTTATAGCAGTTAATTAATAGCAGTTCATTTAGCTGTCTTCTTGCTTCCCAGTATTTTTGGCTTTCCGTCCTCGTCTCTTCTTGCTTCCCAGTATCTCTGGCTTTCCGTCGTTGTCTATAGGGCTGGAGACCGAATAAGGTGGGTCTTCTCCATTTCCTCCTGTAGGTTACATAGATGGCATGTGGGTTGAGTGTATACTCTTAGGTTACATAGATGGCATGTGGGTTGAGTGTATACTCCCAATCTGTGAAGGTGTTTTGCCAAGCAATCGTGTCCGGTGCGTAGTCCAATTTTAGCAACGGCTTCGATTCTTGGTCAGTCGGCTATGTCAGAGAGTGTCACTGCCCACTGTTTCTCCTTTGTTCGAGATTCAAGTTCGTTTTACCCTGAGATCTTGAATTTTCACCTGATTAAGGCCTTCATTGTGTGGAAAGACATCGGCCGGTTCATGCATTGCAAAATCGTTGTCCTATTCTTAGCAAGTGTGTCAGCAAGCTCATTGCCTTTAATGTCACAGTGACCAGGAATCCATTGTAGGACCAATGTATTGTTTTTCTCTCTCAGCAGCTGATAGAGTTTTCTACATTCCTTTATCTCAGCTGTTTTGGGAAGCTCTCTGTTTCCAACTGGGTTTATTGCTGACTGTGAGTCCGAAAGTATCACCGCTTGGGTGAATTTCGTATCCAGGCAACATAATTGGCATAGTGCTATCCTAGTGGCCTCTATTGTGTCCTGCTGCTGTGTAGAAAGATAAGAGTTCAGTATAGACATCAGCAACAACGTTTGCTTGGTTTTCTATGTATGACCCATCAGTGAAGACTTGGAGCCATTGATCTCCAGGAGAGTTGACATTGATTGTCGTGAAGACTTGGAGCTGATGACCAGGATAGTTGACATTGATTGTCTCAAGTACCAGTGAGCCTTTCCATGTATGACCCATCAGTGAAGACTTGGATCCATTGATCTGCTTGATTGTCTCAAGGGCCAGTGAGCGCATTTGCTCTGGAGGAGTACAGCACACTACATCAGTGTCTGCTAACGGGTTCATGGGGAGAGAGAGGCTTTTTGGTTCGTCATCCATTTGTAGTTCTTTTTTCAGTTCTATGGCTTTCTGTATTAGACCAGATTGTGTTTACTCATGGGTGCTGAAGAACTTATCCATGGGAATGTACAGTGGCTTCTCATACAGGATCAAGGCCTTTTCTTTGATAGGGAACATATTGTAGTGCTTCCTGTAACTAGGAGCATGGCAAGAACATATTGTGGTGCTTCCTGTAACCAGGCGCATTGCATCAATCATATTGTGGTGCCTTCCTGTAACTATGAGTGTGATAAGGGAACCTATTGTGGTGCTTCCTGTAACTAGGAGTAACAATGGGTGTTGATTTTATCCCTCCAGTAATTAGTCATCAACATATTGTGGTGCTTCCTGTAACTAGGAGCATTACATCGGGGTGTTGATTTTACCCCTCCAGTAATTAGTCGTAATTCTTGGTAGTGTGCCTTCTCGAGGGGTTTGAGAGTCACCTCTTGGTTTTGTGGCCGTCTATTCCTCCAGTAATTAGT